GGATTGTAGGAGCCCCAATTAAAAAAAAATAACCTTAGACTGAAGGAACAAATATTGCTTCCTCCGCTCTATTCAGTATATTCAACGGAAACAGGAGACGATCTGAAATACCTTATTCTTCCTTAATGAGTTGAGCAAAGAAGTGAAGAGCCTGTTTTCAGCTGACAATCTGAGGCTCATGAATAGAAATCTGAACTTTCAGACACTTCCTAGGCACTTGTGAATTGATATCATTTGACTCCATCCCTTGGTTACTAATTGGGTTCAAGGTTGATCATGAACAAAACTGAGTTAAATTCTTGCTCTAGAGAACTCAAGAAATAAGAAAAATAAAAGACATTAATGAATTTCAACATGTGACCTGATCAGACTGAAGGGACCATTTCTTGCTGTGTACTCCAAGAAGAAAAGACGAGGACTGAGAGGAGAATAAAGCCAATTGTAAGTGATCATGTGTTCAGATTCATAGGAAGAACAATCGCACTTGTTCAGAACCACTTTCCAGGTTCTAGTTTTATTCTGTAGTGAAGTTCACGCACACTTCCTATCTTTAAGCTCCATTAGATATTATATCTAGCCAAAAATGTTTTTTATGCCTTAGCTTAGTTTGGGTGGGTTTCTGTATAGTTGTAACTATGGTGAATTATGTTTCGTAATTTTATCAAGATTTCCTCCCCACCACCATTGTTCCTGTGTCTCATATAGTCCTTTCCTATTTGTTATATTCTGACACAGCAAAGTGTAAGAAAAGTGAGATTGTTTCTTTCTTTTTGCATTTTCAGAGTTAGAATATTTTAGGAGATTAGTGCCAACTCTGGCAAAGACAATGGATTTGGAAGAACTGCATCATGCTATAAGAAGTTTCTTGCTGCCATTAATGAGGATTGTGTTTGGCTGCAAGCAACAGAAAGCTTAACCATTGTCTTAAGCAAGTAGGGGTGTATGAGTGAGAACTCTGTCTAACACAATGAGTCTTGTAGGAAGTTCACAGCAGACTAAAATTGGTGGAGTACTATGTTCAGGTAGACAAATCTGAGTCAGCTTCATAGAATATGCCTTATCTTGGAAGAGCCAGGGCAGTAGGCGAGATGATGATTCTGAAAAGACCTTGAAATCAGGAATGATGGAAGAGTTGGCATTTCTTTGGAGGCTGATATAAAAAAAATAAAGACCTTGAGAATCAAATATTGTACTGAATAAAGCTAATTTTCCACCATCATCTCTTTCGAAACAGGACAATTGCTCTGTGTTTGGAGCAGTGCTGATTGAAAAATGAACAGCTGGCCTTTTTAACACTCCTCTGAAGTGTTAATCCGCTCAAAGGCAAACCAAGTTCATTTCGTTCAGCCCAGGCCTTGTGCTCATGCATGCTATCTCGTTTCCCTTTTTAGAGGCTATCTCTGCTATTTGTCTAGTTGTACCCATCATAAACCTCTATGTGATCAATAATGATCATAACAGCCAATGTTTATTGAATATGTATAATGCACACTTCTTAAATTTCAGCCTAGCAACAACCTCTAAGTGGGTATTATCTACTTTACAGATGAGAATAGTGAAGCTTACAGCTTTTAAGTCAAGCCTTCAACATCTCTTAGACTTCTTCAATAACCTGTCTCCCTGCTTCCGTTTCATTCTCTACCCGTCAATCACAACGGCTATTTATACACTTACATTAATCATACTGGTTTTCTGCTGAAAGTCCTTCTGTTTCCCTCAGGGTAAAGTCCAATTCCACCCCAAACTTCTTTACGTGGCATATAAAAATGTTCATGATTTGGCCTTTACTTACCAACCCTTATCCTCAAGTCTTCTAAGTTTTGCACCTCACAGACTATTCTTATATCGCACAGATTATTTGCAGTTCTTACAACAGTTTGCTTCTTACCTAATTTTTCTGGTGGAATTCCACAGATCAACCACACTCAGTATTCACTTAGGTGCTACCCATCCAGAAATCTTCGATTGAATTTGTACTCTAGGAGAATTCAATGCTTCCCCTGCTCCTAGCACACCATGCTCTCGTGATGTTATTAACTGATTCTACCTCTTGTATTGAACTGTAAGACCCTTGAGTGGAGGTACTATGTAAAAGTAAGAATCGAATATGCTGAGCGTAGTGTTTGCCATATAGCAAATGTGTAAGCAAGAAATATTTTTCAAATGAATGAATCTTCAGTAGAATTCTAGAAGACCTTGCAAAGCTACCTGTGAAGAAATAGAAAATAAGTTGTTTTTATTTGGTCAATGGATTAATCTGACAGCCACTTTTCATCTCCCTAGGTTTTTTGGGTTAAAATTTATAAAAACTGAGTAGAAAAGTTTAAAAACCAACAAAATTTACTGAGAAAACATTCATAAATTATAGTAAGAAATATAAAACATTAAACTAAATGTGTCAAATGTAAAATAGAGATGAATGGAGCAATAAGCGTGAATTTATGGAGAGGAAGCAGGGAATTGAAGGTCTTTTTCAAAGTCTACTGAAAGGAAGGTACTTTGTTGAAATACTTAATCCTTGGAGGGAGGGGAAAAATGAGGACCTAATGTCGGGGGTTTAAATGGAGAGAAAATGTTTTGAGAAATGATGTACAAATACGCTTTACACAATTGATGTGTGTATGGATTGGGATAACAGTTGTATGAGCCCCTAATAAAATGTTTAAAAAAAAATGTTAAAAAAAAAAAAAAAAAAAAAGAAATACTTAATCCTTACAGTAATTCTGTTAGGTTAGCATATTACTACTATATTAAAGATCAGATAAAAACAACATAAGCTAAGTACGTATAAAACAAATGACCTACAGATAAAAAGAAGCACATGAAAAGAAATTAAAATTAGTCAAGAAAATACCAGGGAGATTATGTGAGGGTAAACTACTCTAAACTCCAAAATGCCTAAATCTTTTTTTTGTAAATCTTTTCCTAAATCTAGTTTTTGTAACAGTTTCTTAGCGTGTCATTAGACCAGATTTTAGTTTAGCTAAACATTTTTTTCCTCTCCTTTTTCCCAGTCTAGTAAACCTCTCTTTCAGGGAACTGTCGAAGTCACAAGCAATGAATACCACCGCAAAATTGTTGTTTTTAGGTGCTATCAGTCGATTCTGACCTACAGCAACCATACATACAACAGAAGGAAATACAGCCAAATCCTTAGCCAGTCTCACAAGTCCTGTTATATGGGAAACCCTTGTTTTCACCGTGTCATTCTATCTCCTTGACAGTCTTCCTATTATTAATAGCAGATCACGCTGGAAAAAAAGAAAACGAAAAGGTAAAATATTCGTCAACCCAAAATTCACTGCCAGATAGTTAATTCTGACTCAGAGTGATCCGAAAGGATGGATTAGAACTGCCGCTGTTTCCAAGGCTGTAACTCTTAGCGGGAGTCGAAAGCCCCATTTTTCTTCTGGGGAGCGGTTCTTGGTGGTGTTTAAATGCTACTGTTCTGCTCCGTGCGGAAACCTGCAGTCACGGTGAAGTTCGGTGATATCCTAATGTCAAGTCAGCTAAGGACTCACACTTGCTAAACCTCCAGTTTTCATAAAAGATACCAGGAAGAAGAGTCCCAGTCCCAGCTATCAATCTGTAAAGACCAAATGAGATGATTCGTGCGAAAAGGCTTCGTAAGCATGAGCTAAGACGCTGCAAAATGCGCGCAGTCGGCTGGAAATGTGGCCGAGGCCGAAGCAAGGCGGGATACTGGGCGAAGGAGGCATTAAGAAGGCGCGTCGCTAGGGAGGGGGAACCAAGCGTTGCCACGTGACGTCATCACCCAGCGACACCCGCGACGGCTTCCGGGCCTGGCGTCGGGCTGTGGTGCGAGCCATGGGGTCGTGGGCGCGTCGGCTGGTTTGGGGTGCGGCGTCGCTCGGGCGCAGTGGCGGGCTCGCAGCCTCGCGCGGGGGGCGCCGAGCGCGGGGTTACCGGCGCCAGGTCCGTGGCGCTGCGAGGCGGGCCGAGGCGGGCGGGCCGGGACGCGGGGAGCACGGCCGTGTGGAGCCGGGCATTGTGGAGCCGGGCTGTCCCCTGGCTGCTCACGGAGACCACAGTGGTTTGGACGTCCCCACTTTCCCGGCCTGAGGGGGACGGAACCGATGCATAGGTGTATAGCACGTGGCTTTCCTGATAGGGATTTTGTTGCAAATAACTTACAGAGAAGGAAAACACGTGGGTGATTCAACAACCTAAAAGACACCGTTTATTAATGTCACCGCGCCCTAGGAGATATATTTCCATTTAAACAATGTCTTCACAATGCCACCAGTAGCAGTAACTAATCATGCTAAAAGCTGAATTGGTGGAGATGATTAGGCTAGTCAAGAAAATCCTCTTAATCACAGACCCCAGTTTGTTTTCACGTTGACAGCATGATAATGTAGACGGTTTATTTAAGACGCGTTATTTTTATTTATCTATTTTAGTATTCTGGCGTTGAGAGTGAGACCCTAGAGCAAAGGAGAACACAAATCATGTCACGAGGACTTCCAAAGCAGAAACCCATAGAAGGTGTTAATCAAGTGATAGTCGTGGCTTCTGGAAAGGGCGGAGTTGGAAAATCTACAACCGCAGGTATTATAGGAAATTAATGCTGATTCTCATTAAGAACTGCCAACTACTTGCAGTGTACACTATTAAAATTGTGGTTGCTTTTAAAGTGTTGTGCTTGGATTTTGTAATAGCTGGTTTCTGATAGTTGAAGGGCGAACCCACCTGCTTTCTCCACAAGAGAAAGATGCTTCCGTCTGCTTCTGTCAGCATTTACAGTTGTGGAAATCCTATTGGGGAAGCTCTACTCTGGCCTGTATGAGGGCCATTTTGCTCCCTGGCAATGGCCTTTCTTTCCTCTTTTCCTTATGTGCATCAGCAAGTGGTGTCTTGACTGCCATTGAGCCAATGCCCCCTGCACCCCAGTGGGTTGCTGAGATGTTAACTGTTTTCGGGAGTCAGAAGCCCGGTCTTTCTCCCGTGGAGCCTTTGGTGGTTTTGAAACTACCATCCATGGGGCTTGCAGCCCAATACATAACCATTACACCCCCAGGGCCCAACTAGGTGCTCACATTGGGGGTTAGACGAAACTAGGTACATAACCACATAGTTGACTCCTTAAGTGAGGAAAAGGTGGTCCGGGTTGCCCATCATATTTTCAGTTTACTTAACTATAAAAAGGGAATGACAATAACTTCTATTATGCAGATTACATGAGATGACAATTTTTAGTCAGCAGTCAAATATTCAATAATTGGTTGCAGAATGTAGTGGGTGCTTCAGGAAATGTTCGTCTTTCTGCTGTCAACATGATATCATCTATCCTGGATAGCTGGCCTATACTTTTTCATCATCGCTCTAATGGTGTACATAAGCCTTAGAAACAGTTAACTATTAGCATTGTAATTCTTCTCGTACAGGTGTTAATGCCTGCTCTAACTCTGAAAATACTTCCCATTAAGTAGGTATGATCATGAGATTTTAGGTAAAAATACTGATTATTTAATTAATACAAAACATGCGTTGTGATTCTATTGTGTGAATGCAGAAGAACTTAATTTTAAGATGGATTACTCTCTAAATGTTTCTGTTTAAAAGTTGGATTATATTTATTTAACCCACCATATGCTTGAAATTCAGAATTATTTTATAGTTTATAAAAACTAATCAAGAGCCACACCCTAGGATAAGTAGTTTTCATGCATTATTTAATTTAATCCTCATAACAGTTATAAAGTAGGGATGATCTCTTGTATACTAGAAACAGATTCTAGGAGTTAAATAATGTGTTGTAAATCAAAGGTGGCAGAGCTGAAATTTGAACTTGGTCTGCTTTTAAAGCTTGTGCTCTTAACTACTTTAAAGGCAAGAACCCTGACACCATTTTTTACAGTCTTCTGTAGGTAAATATGAGCCATAACATGAGGGTTTATTTGTATATCAGTCTTGGAAATGCATTACTTTCTCCTCATATGTAGCATAACCCGATTGCTGGGCTAAAGATGAGAAGGGCACAGTGTTTTGTGAACAGATTGCTCTCCTCCACGAAATCTCTTAGATTCAGTGGAGTAGGCAATTTTGCCAACACATTTTACACCCTTAATCTTTATTCTCTTTGCTTCCCTCTGTGCACTGTGGTGCAGCTTTTGTATACATGGGTATTTGTAAGTTTGACACTTCAAACTTTGCACTGTCAGCATTGACTTTTACGGACATATTATTTACATACCATATAATCAGTGGTTTGACTATATTAAAAAAAAGAGTTGTGCAATCATCACTACAATTAGTTTTAGAACATTTTCCTCATATTTTTCCTCATTATTGTTAGCACCTCATTTCCCACCAACCCCCTCTGCCATAACCCTTAGAAACTATTAATCTTTTTACTGTCTCATAGATTTAACTATCCTGGATTTTATATAAAGAACATTATACAATGTCCTCCATTAACAATGACCACATAAAACCCAGAAAAAAACCTCAATTCAAAAGAAAGAAAGAAAAAAAAGAGCTAGAATTAAAAATAGGTGAAGAGGGAAAACCAATGAGAAGATGTTAAAATGTAACCTAAGTATATCTGCATTAATTCACTTTGTGATGCCCTCTGTCTGAGGGCAAGGCTGTTCATACTCCAGTTAAATGGTCTGAGGAAATTCAATGGAGGTTAATCCACATGAAGACTTTGCAAATGGATTTTGGACTTTCACTGTTATCCATAGCCTTCTGTAAATCGGTGCTCAGAATTTCACTAATACAATTCCCTTCCTCTGATCTTGGATTTCATTATTCACAGTCCTTGGATTACTTTCATTAGTGTGCTGCTTCTGTGTGAACTTAACTGTCACCTCACTTAGATGGCTGTTTGTTTTATGACATGTTTTTAAAACCTTAGAAACAATTATTTTGGTTAGCCAGGTACCATCTAATTTCTTCAGTGCACTTTTGCTGTAGCATCTACATCTTCAGAGATCACTTCATGAGGTTAAGTAATGGGCAGGGCCACATCATAACAACAGATTGTTCTTAGGTTAGGGTTTATGGTTAAGTGTGAACTCAATCCATTTATATATTGAAGGTGTATATATATATATATATATATATATCCCTGTTTTACTTTAGTGGCAGTAATATCGACTTTTTGAGAGATAATAAAAGTAACCTCGATGGGGCCTTTGGTAATTCTAATAATAGTATTGTTAAACTAGCCAATTGTATAGCATTTAAAATACAATTGAGATAAAGGGAATATATCTGGGAAAGCCTTTAAGATTAAAATAACTTACACATATTAAAAAAAAGTGTGTGAATCCTGTTTAAGAAAACAATGTGGGTTAGACACAGGGCACTATATGGCACTGATTCCCTATGGCAGAAAAACGAGGGGGTACCCCCCAAACCCCAAAATTGCACTGGGTAGCTGGAGCTTTCGTAGTACACATTTTTTCTGCTAGGCGAGCATCAAGCAACTTGCTCTGAATTAGTGCTCCCAGTGGCATCACCTGGGAAAGTCCTCTGGTTGCAGTGAATTTTTTCATAAAAGCATTTCGCTCAAGCCTTCATTTGTTTGTTTTTGTGATGGCTGATTTAAGAGAATAGCGTATGGCTGTACAATTTTGTTTCCTTCTCTGGAAAAATACTGCAGAAACCGTTGTGATGTTGAACGCAGCTTATAAAGACAGCGCTCTGGGAAAAACTCAAGTGTCCGATTGGTTATCTCATTTCAAAAAGGATGAAATGTTGATTGATGACAAACCTCATTTTGGATGTCTGTCATCTTCCTGAGCAGATGAAAATGTTGACTTGTAGTGCATTTGGACCTCGTTTCACCAGGTCCGATTGTCAATCAAGCTTTCTAGTTAGAGGTTTTGGAAAGATTGCGTAACAGTGTGTGACAAGAAAGGCCTGATTTGTGGCAGTTGGGAGATGGGTTTTGCCACCACAACAACATACCCGCTTACGCAGCCATCTCAGTATGCCAGTTTTTGGTAAAAAGCAGCATTCCTCTTTTGCCTCATGCACTTTATTCACCTGACCTTGCTCCGTGCAACTTCTTTTTGTTTCCATGAATGAAGAGGGACATGAAAGGACAGTGATTTGATGAGAAAGTAAAGATGAAGAAAAAGATGAGGGAGGTGCTGTCAGCCATCCAAATAGATGAGTTTGAAAAATGTTTCCAAGAATGGAATTGTAGATTTGACAAGTGTATTATGTGTAATGGAAAGTACTTTGAAGATTGTTATGTAAAAAAATTTAAATACCTAGCTTTGAAAAAAAATCCATTCTTTTGGTATCCCCTTGTCTGTATGCAGAACCAAGATATCTCTTAAAAAGTTAAGGAAATACAAAGATGATAAATATATGGTAGTCTTATTCCAAAAAGTCCTCCAAACACTGCCATGGAATTGATGCCAATTCATAACAACCCTATAGGACAGGGTAGAACTGCCCCTGTGATTTCCAAGTATCCAAGACTGTGATTCTTAAGATTCCTATTATTGGGCAAATTCAAAAGCAAGAGGTTTGAACCAAAGTTCAACGACTGACTTCCTAAGCCATGATCTTGGGGTAGCAGTCCTCCTCTTCTTCCCCTGGGGTGTTACGGCTTTCAAGTCCAAAGGAGTATATCAGTTCCTTTGATATGCAACATGTGTTTGTGAGGTAATGTTCTCTTAGTGCAGAGGTTCTCAACCTGTGGTTCACGACCCCTGTGGGGTTCGAACTACGCTTTCACATATGTTTTCCGAAGGTCTTAGGAACCAAGACACTGCTCCTCTATCCTTCTCCAGGAGGGACCGCCCGCAAGCAGATATGCCTACATATGGGTACTCGGCGTGAAGACTGTTACCCATGCTATACCATGCTTCAAGACAAAATTTCATTTATTTGTAGTTAATTAGAAATAAATATTTGACAATATATAATTACATATTGTTTTTGTGATTAATCACTATGCTTTAATTATGTTCAATTTATAACAATGAAAAGACATCCTGCATATCAGATGTTTGCATTATGATTCATAACAGTAGCAAAATTGCAAAGTAGCAATGAAAATAATTTTATGGTTGGGGGTCACCACAACATGAACTTTATGAAAGAGTAGTGGCGTTAGGAAGGTGGAGAATCACTGTCTTAGTGGGTTTTCCCGCTCGGGTCCTGATGTGGTCTATGTCGTACAGCTCAAGAAGACAAAATCTAAAATCCAGGTAGCTTATAATCTGAGGCCTAGGTCAGCAAGTGCTGAAAAGAAACTTGGTTAAAAATGCATGATTAGCTATATAGCACAGAGCAGATGCTCCTCCTTGGGGGTCTGTAAACACAATGTCAAGAGTACGCCCCACCAAAAATAAGAAAAGAGTTTTCCCCAGGAGAAGCTGCCCTCTTCCCCCAAATGAACAGAAGTGAAAACATTGTGGAAAGAGGCACATTCCCTTGCCCACTTCTTGGTCATGGATCTCCACTGGAATGCCCTGAACACTGTTAAGAGCATCCACCCAATTAGAGTGACTGTAGGGCATTATGGTATGCCATGGACCGTTTGTGCTCTCCCGCCCCTCCCTACTGAGAACTGTCCCTAGGTGCGGTGAGGCCTCCCCTGGAGAAGTGGTCATTATGATGTACAAGTAAGGGAGTCATAAATAAGTTGCAAGTGTCAGACAGTCATAGTACACCTAAAAGGCCAGGTGGATCGACCTCATGACACGAGAGCCACTGCCCGTCTTTGTCTTGGTGCTTGTCCTTAGCAGTGGTCTGGACAGTATTTGTGTGTCTGCGGTTGACTGGCTTCGCTCAGCATACTGTTCTCTAGTTCCAACAAGGTTGTCAGGCGCTTCATGCTTTTGCCATTGTTTTCTGCACTCAGCACTGATTTTGAAAAGATGCTAGGACACAAAACCATTTTTATTTATTGACAGATCTCTGTAATTATTCTGTGGAACATTAAAAAATTAAAATATATCTCATTAAAATAAAAAAATAGTGTATGATATGAACAAAATTGTACCAAATTATAAATAGGTTAATTAAAATGCTAATTTAAGACAGACCTTTATTACTTATGTTGTACTATTTTGAAATTTTTTCACTTGCTGGATTCTTTTTATTTCCATATTTACAAGTAAGGAAGATACATTAAAATTTCTGTGCTTTTGTAATTGTATAGAAAATGAATTTTAATACAAGAAAAGTTACTAAATGTAATTGTTTTTTTGTTTCTTACAGTGAATCTTGCACTTGCACTAGCAGCAAATGATTCGGTAGGTATTTATTAATAGATAATGATTTAAAACATATTGCTATTTTCATTTATCTGTCAATAGCTGTGTTGTATAGCTCTAGTCATTGCATGTCTCAGAATGTTGTCATTAATACTGCTTATATTTATTCTTTATTATGCATTTAAATGTTGATCATGCATTGTTTACTAGATAATCCCAAACAAAGCTTTGGTTTTCTTGAATAGAAGTCATGTGCTAAAACAGTTTTCTCCAATCCTGGTTTATATTCTGGATTCAGGTTTGTTTGTTTTTCTAATAAATCATCTAATTGGGGATTCTTACAGCTTTTATAACAATCCATACATCAATTGTATCAAGTACATTTGTACATATGTTGCCATCATCATTTTGAAAACATTTTTTTTCTATTTGAGCCCTTGGTATCAGCTCCTCTTTTTTCCCTCCTTTCCCATCCTCCCACCCTCGGACCCCTTGATAAATTATTATTATTTTCATATCTTACACCCTGTGCAGTCTCCCTTCACCCATGTTTCTGTTGTTCACCCCCCTGTGTGTGTGTGTGTGTGATATGTCGATTATTGCGATCAGTTGCGCTTTTCGCCGCCTCCTCCCCCCATGGTATTGCCACTCCCATTACTGTCCCTGAGGGGTTTATCTGTCTTGGATTCTGTGTGTTGAGAGCTCTTATTTGTACCAGTGTACATGCTCTGGTCTAGCTGGATTTGTAAGGTAGAACTGGGGTCATGATAGTAGGGGATGGGTGGTTGGGGGTGTGAGCATGCCCCTGTGTTTGTTGGCTAGCTCCTCCATATTTCCCATCTTCTCCTATCCTATGTCCCCCTAAGCTGTGGGTCCCATTATTTTCTCCTTGGGATCGTTTTTCCTGCCTGGTTTATATAGATAGACATAAAAAACAAAAACAAAATACGAAATAAAATACTTACAAATATTTCCAGGTCCGTCTGCTGACCCTTATGAATAATGCCTGATTGGATCATTTGAGGTGCCAAGTCCTGCCCTTGAGTCTGAAGTCTTCCTTGGGGACTTTGTGCTATGCTCCCTTTGCTGCTCTGTTGCGCTCCCTTTGCATTTCGCCATGGTGTAAGGTAGTCAGACCGGGCACAATTCCTGCTCTGTGTCTCTACTGCTGTCCCCAGTAGCGCTGTGGGTCAGTGAGGTCAGTTTTTAAGTGCTAGTAATTTAGTTTTTTTTCCCCCCAGAGGTAAAATATATTCTTCTTAAAAAAATCATTTTATTAGGGGCTCATACAACTCATCATAATCCATACACACATCAATTGTGTAAAACACATTTGTACATTCATTGCCCTTATCATTCTCAAAACATTTGTTCTCCACCAGTAAAATATATTCTAAAAGTGGTGTATATTTATTGAAATAAATTGAAGCAGGACCTGTGTGTGACATAAAACTGAAGATCCATCTATATCTCTTTTTTCTTCCAGAGTATTAATTATAGGCTATAACTTTATGTATATCCTAACTCTTAATCACTCAATGTAAAATTTAAAAGAAAAGGGCTCTTACTTCTGTTTCATTGCTTTTACCATTGTTATACCAGTACTAGGCTATTTTGCTTATTGGAGTATGTTATCATATTATTACGTTATATTTTAAATTCAGGAGGTCTAAGCCCTGCTGAGCCCTGTGGTGTAGTGGATTATGCATTGGGCTACTAACTGCAAGGCGCTCCTACCGGGCACTCCTCAGTAGGAAGATGATCCTTTGTGCTCCAGAACAGACACATTTCTGTTTGGTCCTCTGGGGTGTCTATGAGTGAGCATAGACTGGCAGCGAAGTTTGAAATTTGAGTCCCTTTACTTTGTTCTTTTTAGAAAACATTTTATTGTGAATTGGCTGAAGGTTTACAGAGCAAATCATTTCATACCCATTTTGTTTTAAGTCATGGATCTCAATCCCCGCAAAGCTTTGTCTTTGGGAAAATGCTACTCTTTTGATCTTAGTGGTTGATTTTTCTAAAGTGTACATTCCTCTTTAGTGTTATTATTCTCCTTGTAGACCTGTCTATTGTTTGGCTGAAAATTGAGCCACGGAGGACAGTTCAGATCCAAACCTGAAGGGAGCCATAATCTTGGGGCTCCCATCAATCTGTGTATGACAAGTAAGCCTGGCCTTTTTTTTTTTTTTTTCAAGGAAATATTTCATTTATTTGTCATTAGAAACAAATATTTCACAATACAT